TATATGAAACAATTTCACAAGATTAAACAATTTAATGAAAAAATTTCATAAGATTAAACAATGAAATCGACAGATGAAGGTGGTTTGCACGGTTTACACAAATGAGAGCGGTTTTCATATGATCACTCCTCTATATATGTATATATGTATATATAGGCAAAGGATAGTGTGAGGAGAGTTGAGGTGAGAATTGTAAGAAAAGATTTGGACCCTTGATCAACTTTAATCTCAAACCGACCCATGAATAACGCTTGATACGGGGAATTGATCTGGTGCATCACATCCTAATGTGCATCTAACATCTAAGGGTAGAGATCCCTTCTTACGCTTATCACCTTAACTCTCCTCACCGAATCCAACCTATATATATGTATATGTTCAGAAATGAATATTTCTCACAGTTTAAAACAAATTCCATTAAATATGCTCATGATACAGAGACTCAAAAACCAAAGTGTTCTCTTTCATCAAAAACAGCATCCTTTGCCTGAAGAAAAACTAGAACCATAAAACCTTCACTTCAAATGAGATCAAGAAACATAACATCAAAAACATTTCCCAATTTCATCCTCAAAATGAATCATTTGAGTTAAACAAACAACTATGAGGTCTTTTATTTCGAAAAACAAGTGTTCATGATCGTCGGGTATGAAAAGCTTCGGGCTTTATATATCAAGCAACAACCTTCGTGGGTCTTCAACGACATCTTTGATACGCCTCAAGAAGAAGACGGCTTCTCTACCATCAATCAACCGATGGTCATATGTGAGGGCGATGTACATCATTGGCCTTGATACGATTTCGCCACCAACAACCATCGGTTTGTTGACTATTGAGTGCATCCCGAGAATAGCCGACTGCAAAAAGAAAATTAAAATGTATGAAAATCATGGAAACCGCAGCCGGACACATAGTTTGTGTAAAAATAGGTTTTGATAATGATAAAATAAGGTTTAAGTATTTCTCGACTGTGCTAACATGACCTCTGATAGGAGCATTAGAATCCCTTGCCTCTTTGTGAGATATACTTAGTTCGTTTGGTTTAGTTGTTAATTGTGCACATAAATTATGCATGACTTTGCATTCACGAAATGGGATTTCAAAAAAATATCCAACGATATGATTTATGCCACCATCGGAAATAACAACCCTACCCATCTCTGAAGGAGTTTATGTTTCACTTTTAAGGGGCCGTTTGGTTAGCAAGATTGGAATCTGTTGGAATTGGAACTGTCAATTCTGTTGATCAAATTCCATTCATTCCAACAAACATGAATTTCATCATTCCATCATAGTGGGGAAGGAAATGAATTCCATTCCAACCAATTTTATTAAAATGACAAAACTACCCCCATTAAACCAATCTTCTTAAATTATTTATATGTATAGTCCAAGAAAAAATAAAAAAATAAATGCAAATAAAGGGTATTTTGGTCATTTTTTTCATCATCTCATTCCAATTCCTCGATCACCAAACAAACAGATTCCAACCCATTTAATGGATTACAATCCATTTTCTGCCAACAAAGCCTGATAACAATCTATTCCAATTCCTTTTAGGTTCCAATTACTTCGACGGATTCCAATCCTTCATAAACGTTCTGCGAACTAAATGCCCTCTAAGTTTCAAATGAGTTATCTTATACCTCCAAATTCGACAAGAACATTGATTTTCTTTTCGTAGATTTTGATGTTCTCTCATTGTTGAAGGGTATTTTAGACATTTCACTTGTAATCAAACATTTACACTAAACCGTACTCTCAGTTAGTTATCTTTTACACATACATGGCCTAAAGATTTCGATGTTGCACGTAGTAATATTCACGAGTCTTCATTAATGAATAAATTCACAACTAAAAACGAAACGGGCAAGCATAAAAGAAAATAATTAGAACGGAAAATAAAAGTGCCGAACCTGAGGAGGGTTTATGATGGGAGTACTTAGAAGACTTCCATACACGCCACCATTAGATATCGTGAATGAACCTCCAGCCATCTCATCGATTGAGATGGAGCCATTTGTTGCTTTCTTGGCTAGGGTGTTAATCGTCTTTTCTATTTCCGCAAAGTTCATTGTCTCAGCATTTCGGATAACCGGAACCACGAGACCCTTCAAAAAACATTCAAGTTTTAATTTACTTAAAAGATATAGACTCATCATTAAAAACAGATGAGAAGCTTTTAATCTATATAACACTACAACAAAATGGGCTTTATAGGACACCCAAAAAATGTAGGGTCTGCTTGTTAGCAGCTTAATGAGCTTAATGAGACTCGCAACTTATTCGGTCAGCTATACATGACTCTTTGGTAGTGGATTAATGATATAGAAAGCGGCTTATTCAGTAAGCTTCTAGGGGGAAGCTTTATGCAGAAAGCCAATTTTTTTCGGAACCTGCCCCTCCGAATTAAAAAACATGCTCATTCCATCAATGAAAAAAATCTCCCAAACAAAAACTTTCCCGATTAATCCACAAAGACAACTTTATTAATACAGGACTTAATGGAAAATCAACCAAACATCCCCTAAATGTCCTAATAGTTTGCTTTACAAGACCAAATAATTGAGCGTCCTATCTAAACGTGTTACAATAAGTTGACAAGACGCTTTTGGGTGCCTAAACAAGGTTTTCAGAACAATTTGAAATAAAGGGTCTTATTAGTCTTTTTTAAATGACATTATTTGAAAAAAATGTGATATAAAAACAGTGTCCTATAAAAAGACGTGTTGCATTCACAAGACATTTCTCAAAAGTGTCCTATAAAAACATTAATAGGACACTTCCTTTCAAAAATGTTCAAAAAAACTTGCTATGATGCCCAAATACGTCCTAACATCCAATTGTAACACATTTACATAGAACCACAACTGTTTGGTCCTATGAACTTAAAGTGCTATAAAGCAGTTTATTAATACATTTAGACATTTTTGACGTCCTATAAAGCCAATTTTGTTAAAATTGTAAACATGCAATTAGGTGGAAATGTACCTTAGGAGTACCGACAGCAATACTGATATCGATATAATCTCTATATATAATGTCGTCTCCATCAATAACAGCATTGATAATCGGCTGATTCTGGAGCCCGCTAACAGCAGCCTGGAATATATATACACACACACATATATATAAGCCATCACAAAAAACCCGAAAATAATTGATGCAAAAAGAAGCACGAAGAAACAGATATTCAACTGAAACCAGACGAATAATTAGCAAATTGCTAAGCATACTTTCACAAATCCAGACATGAGTCCCAGCTTCACTCCATGCTTCTCAAGGAAAGCTTCTTTATATTCAGATCGGAGCTTCATCAGATTTGTCCTGAATTAAAGATGCAAATCACATCAAAATGTCGTATTTATTTGAGAAATTTAACGCTTTCATTTTGAGGGTCCCACATATATGATTTGAGGAGACTGCTTATACAAGTCCTCAACAAAATGAGAAATGGTGGACGGACGAAAACTGGATAAGCAAACAGCATTCCCACTTACATGTCGACTTCGTTGAATGTAGTCAGCAGTGCGAAGGTATTTTGAGAATCTTTCAAACGTGTGGCCACACGCTTCCTGAGTCTCGTCATTGGGACCTACAATATCGGCGAATTCATAAACATCAAAGGGTTCTTTTATATGCTTCAAACGGTATCAACCATGATAAGCACGATTGTCATAGAACGGCCCTAATAAGTCTTGCGACTTGAATAAGAAAGATAAAATGATTAATGAATATATCACATGATTATTGTTTGTAAAATGCTACCATTAGGAAGGGGCATCATAGGGGCCCTCAATACTTTGTCCATGGTGTTTGTTTCAACATGTGTGTATCGAATGCTTAGCAAGAGCAAATTACTTCTTTTTATTTGGATATAAATCCAAATTTTAGTGAAAATAAAAATATCAATGTAAACCGATAGGATATATGGAACCCCTTTCAATTCTCGCTAAAAGATCCCTTACAAAGAGGGGAGGTTCCGAAATTTATATATATATATAGGGTCAGGTTCATGGGAAAACCCTAAAAAAATGAAAAGTTGAGGAACACCCTAGTAACCATTAATTTGTATGGTATGCACATGTGCATACAAGTAATGTGTAAGTAATTTTTCCGGAATGCACATGTGCATAACATGCACAAATGCATAAAAACTAGAAAACATCTTCGATTAACTGTATGAACATGTGCGTACCGTACAGATGAATGGTTATTAGGGTGTTCCTCAGTTTTTTCATTTTTTGGGTGGTTTTTCCCCCGAACCTCACTATATATACAGATTTTTATGGTCCTTGTTTAGGCAATGTGGGCCTTCAACATGCCCTCTCAAATGGAGGCTAAACGGTGCCCCCTAGAATGGAGGCTAAACGGTGTGTTGAAACTAGAATCCCTAGATGTGGTAGACCTTGGCACCAATACAACGTTAGGCTATGTTGTATCCTTTTGAATTCTCACTATAAGATCCCTTATAGTACATAATGACTAAAAGAGCCCTTATAGAGAGTGGGAAGGTTCCTACATATATGCAGATTTGATGGTCCATGTCTAACCGATGGAGGACTCCAGAATTGACATGAAAGAGTGTATCAAGTCCCTAGATGTGGTAGACCCCGGCTCTGATACCATGTTAGGATATGTCGAATCCCTTTGAATTCTCTCTAAAAGAGCCCTGATACCATACCTAATGACTAGACAACATAACATAGTCTAAGAAAGACGATACAAAATAAGATGCTTACTCTTCTTTCCCTATCCTTAGGAGGAAGTTGAGGCTCGGAGGCCGAAGTTTTTGAAGGTGGCGGAGACGACGCTTTAGGCGCATCTTTTGGAGGTTGAGCATCGGGCTTGGGCAATGGTTTCTCCACCGCGGCAGGAGCCGGCTTAGGTGCGGGTGCAGCCGTGGTTGGGGACTCAGATGGAGCCACATGAGTCGTTGCACCTTCACCGCCCGACTTTGATATAATCGCAACCTTTGTACCTGGCTCAACGGTATCTCCTTCCTTGGCTACAAACTGAAACAAGAAAAATAACGTGGTAAACAGGATAATATCGAACCACTTTCTTGCAACATGTTTTTGCGAGTTTTGCAAGAACCATCATTTGTTTGCATTGAAGTTCAAAGTATGATGGTTCAATAAGTTAACCACTCCGATTCAAGGGACAGGTTCAAACGAGAACCATAAATATTTTGATAACCTGGGAACCAACTACTCATGATGAATAACCATAAAATATCCGTGAATATTATTTACAGCTCTATTTGAAACCCGGCCCTCCAATTCAAATGCAAGGATTTCCTTTCGAGGGTGCTTCAGGATAAAGCCAAGATTCCCCTTTTCGGCAAAGTTTCAACCCAAGATTACTTCTTTGCCGTTTGTAACCAATACAAAATAGGGAAATTGTCCAAAATAGCCATTTATAACACCCTCAAATTCACTTTATAGCCACTTTTCTACATTATTGATCGAAATAGCCAAGATTTCGCAACTAGCTTTTTAGCAACTAGCGAACTCCACTTTTTATAAATATAATATTCAAAAAATAGCAATTTTGCAAGTTGCTAAAATGCTACTTACAAAATGTTGGCGTGGAAATGTCACTCACGCAACTTTTGTTAAAGTGCTCCCTACCCCCAACTTGCTAAAGTGCTACTTGCCATGTCAGCATTTCGCAAGTAGCATTTTAGCAAATTGCTAAATTCATAAATAGTAGATTGCTAAAGTGCTATTTGCGAAATCTTTGATATTTTGGTCAACGTAAAAAAGCGGCTATAAAATGAATTGAGGAGACTAGAAAAGCTATTTTGGACAATTTCCCATACAAAATATCAATATCACCTAACACAATCATCACAAACTACTTCCTCAATGGATCATTGCATCTTTTTTGGGACATAGGAACTATGAGATATAAAAAGTATACGAATTTGTGAACTTCGAATTATATTTTTCAACCACTCCAAAAATGATTACCTCTTGGATAAAACCAGCTTCAGGACTTGCAACATCAATCGTCACTTTATCGGTTTCAATTTGAGCAATTGGCTCATCAATTTCAACGCGATCACCAGGTTCTGTTTGCAGATAATTCCAAAAATGAGTTCTAAAACATTTGAAAAAGTACGCCTACACAACTAAAACAACCAAAAACTCCAATTAAGCAACATACTCTTTAGAAAAGTGGCTAGAGTGCCATCTGTAATCGATTCTCCCATAAAAGGGACAACAGCATCAACCAAATCACCTTCATAATCAGAAGGAAAACACAATGTTAGATTGATCAAGAAGTAGTTAAGCATTGGTACTGCAAGAAAGTATTGGATAAAGAAGAAAAGTATACCACTGTCTGAAGAAAAAGATCTACTCCACATTTGGGTCGTAAAATTTGGTTTAAGTGAAGGTACAACATTCCTGTAACAAAAGAATTTGTTGAAGAATAGTTTAATATGACAATCTTTACGATAATATAAAACTTAGGCCCTAACTTCCATCAACACACACACAATATATATAGTGGGAGGCTCAAAATTTCAAAAAAGAAGACCAAATATTATGAGAAGGTAGGTTCATAAGTGAATCATTGAAAAAATCCATTGGAAGATGCATATGTGAACCCATATGGATAATCTGTAACGTTAGTTCACATATGCATCTTCAAATAGAGTTTTTTCGGATTTTTTTAATGATTCACATATGAACCTTTCCCTTAACGTTCCCTTCTTACCTTCTCACAATATTTAGCCTTCTTATTTGAACCGACCTGTGTATATATACATATATATTATGTGTATGTGTATGTATATAGGGGACTAAACATGCGAGAACCACAAAAAGGTTACAAACCCATGAGAACCAATTTCAATGTGTTGTTTCATATATTTTTTTCATCTAAGGCTAGGATTTAAGGAATTGTTTCAGATATATTTGTTTTGGATGTATTTATTTGGAAAAAGTACAATATTTTTTATGTGTATTTTTTGTTACACAATGTGAAACAACACATGATTCACTGGTTCTCAATCTTTTTTAGGTTCTCATTTGGTTACATCCTATATATATATATATATATATATATATGTAGAGGGAGAGAGAGGGTACAAGATTATTTCAACCTTACAGGCAGTGAATGACCTGGGGCACCTGTAATCATACAAGTACAGAAGTACTACATCAGTTACAAAGTGCTAAATTACATATACATTAAAATATTATTAAAATATATTTTCTAGCATGAAAAATATTTTATCTAGAGTCATTGACTTCTCAAATAGCATATTTGGCTTTTCATTGCAAAAAAAACTATCTTTCTTGCAAAAATGCAAAGAAAAACACTACACTTCCCATGACGAGTGATTTTGGACAAAATGTGCCGTATACTATGGTTCTTTTTGCATTTACATTTCAACTTGTTGGAAACAGCTCATTCATGCAAAATATAGTGTTTAGTTTGGAATTTTCAAAAAACATAACTTTCTCTATGTCAAAGTAAGCAATTTACCTTCATGAAATTGCCGTAACGGTTTTGATCCCATTCCAAGATTTAGTGCCTTTCGAAAATGAACATGAAATCAAGATGAGTAATCATTGATGAAGAATGCAACAACTAACCAAATGATAAATGAAGTACCTTGTGCGTTGAGATTGTTTCAACAAAACCTTGTGGCGTTGATCCTGCAAGCACAGGTCGGGCTCTCCCCAATGTTTGTACCGATCCCTGCAAACAACCCAAACAAATTACGCTCATGCAGAATTAGATTAAGCACATACATGAGCATTGGAGTACAAGATAGATGCAAGCAATTAGCTCAGGTAACTCAAACAAGCCAATATATAATTATATATATATAGAGAGAGAGAGAGGAGAGAGAGAGAGTCGGGATCATGGGAGAAAATTTCACTTTCACAAGAAGGTGAGAACAAGTGAAGACACCTTTCTATTGTATGAATGTTATTTTATATTGTGTGAAGATTGTAACTTTCACATCACCTTCAACTGTATATTGGAAGGTTACATTACATAGTGTGAATGTTGTAACCTTCACATAATACAAGTATACTTTCAACTTTTTTTATCACGTTCTCATGAAAAGGGTCGTTCTCACCACAACTCATATATATATATATATATATATATATATATATACGCACACACACATATATAGAGGGAGGTTCAGGGGAAAACCCCCCAAAAAATGAAAAACTAAGGAACACCGACATAACCGTTCATTTGTATGGTATGCACATGTGCATACAAGTAATTGAAGATGTTTCTATACACGTGTGCATGTTATTCACATGTGCGTACTGGAAAAATTACTTACAAATTACTTGTATGTACATGTACATATTGTACAAATGAATGGCTATTAGGGTGCTCCTCAGTTTTTCATTTTTTTTTTGTGGTTTTCCCCTGAACCTGACCCACATATTATATATATATATATATATGTATGTATATGTGTGTGTACGTGTGTACTATAGGGAAGTATAATTAGTGGAATGCCATACAATGGATAGAGCTTCAGGCTCCCTACCCTACACAAAGTTTTATGTCCATCCGGAGGGTCCCTACGTTTTGTTCAAATGGGGAGGGCTTCCACAAGCACCATCGATCATGTGGTTTAACACAAATTAGGCAGCCCGTATATAGACATAGATATTCTTATCCATGCTTTACATAAACAACCTCTTTACTCATTGGGACAGAGGAAGATCTGCATACATCTTACCGCCCTCCATAGACCGCACTCCACGTGGCATTTACCGGGTTCATTTCATTTGGTTTGGTTTATTCTTATTCATGCATCAATATTGTAAACTCTTACGATTAACACTACGTTTAAAATCAAAAAGATTGAATTACTATTCAACCCAAGAAAAGAATCAACATTTCCGAAAACTACATCCATCTCATCCACAAACCAAAAAATCACATGGCATTCATCACCCCATTTCTAAATTTAGAAAACTTTTCATAATGGTCTAATCATACAAGTTAATAAACCATAAGAAACTAATAATCCTTCTTCAAACTCCAAATAAATAGAAACCTAAGTAAATACATATTTCAACTATAAACAATTAGATAAAAATGGAAAAGCATACTTACATTATTGATCAAAGCATTTGAGCCAACAGATGCAACTTTCCTCCTGAAAATTGCCCACATCATGACTCCAATCTTCCCTACATCAATTGAAGTATTCAACATCAAATAAAGAAACCCTAAAATTAAAATCTAACCAATAAGATGAATCAATGGTCAACTAAGGCTCGATCTAACTCCTAAATCCTCAAATTGAATCCAAAATATGCTGAAATTTGGCTAATCAATGACCATAAAAATCAACATATTGTTACAGAAGTACGAAATCAAAAGGGCTTCAAAGATGGGTTTTGAAGATTTAGATTCTCCGATCGATTCCCATCAAGAAAAAAGCATAAATATCATAAGAAATTGAAGGAATCGATTCAAGAATGAGTATTTACCTGGTTAAACGCGATGAAACTGCAGAGGGAACGTGTATTTATTGTGGATTTTGGTGTTTTACAAACAAGGAGACAGAATTACTCGAATGATGGAAGCGATGGCTGGAGAGAGAAAGAGGAGGCGCGCAGCCGCCGAGTTTTCTAAGCTATTTTTTCTTGGAATTATTATTATTTTTCAATAATTGAGTTTTAGATTATTTCACAAATGATATGTTTTCGGTGTATTGTTTTTTTCGATCGGTACGATTTGTCGGTATTTATGTTTCGGGTTTTCGATTTAGAATCGAAGAAAAGGAATGATGTTATTAAAATAAATGGTCGTTTTTAATTATTAATATTAATTACATATTCCTTTTGAATCAGTTCTACAGTATATTGTTTCCCTTCAATCGATATGATCTGTCGATATAGAATATTAAAGATTAATGGTCGTTTTTGTTTTTTAATATTAACTTTTAGAATCTTTTCGGTTGACAAGGTTTAAGATTCTTTTTTGTAAATCATGGGATGTCCATATCAGTTTGTGCATATGTTCGACTAATCGTAGTAGTTGTGGAGAGTAGTCAGAAAAATTGTCGGTAGTTTTGCAGGGCTCAAACTGGTTACCTATGAAGGTTTAAGGTTTACTGTTATGGATACTGGGTTTTTATTTTATTTTAGTTTTGCTTTTGTTTATGTATTTTAATCAGATAATACTGATATACAAAAGGATTATATGCAAAACAAAAATGGAGCAAAAGGTAATAAAATTTTGGCGACAAGGGCCAAAAGTGTAATAAGTTAGAAACTTAAACGGGAAAAGGGTCGAATGTCTTTTTTGTAGAAGTCGTAGGGCATGTGTTTGCAAAAATCCTACAATTGAGGTAGTGGGATAGTGGCAGTTTTGCTCCTGGTGACTCGTGCTCGTTCCCAATGTCTATAGTTTGTTCACAGTTACCCGAAGGTTCTACATCTGTCGTTGATGGTATGTGTCTTCGATTGAAGTTATGCTAGTAATGGTTCATCAAGTCCATTATGTAAATAAAGAAACAACGTCATTGTTGGAAAACACCAAAAAAATATAAAATCTGTTTTAGGTTTGAAATTGCGAGAATATTGGAACGTTCAAGCTTGTTTGAAGACCGAAATCACCACTGGAATCAAGGTATGTTAAGCTCTTTGTAGGAAACATTTGAGGTTTTAGCTACGTTGGTCTCTTAAAGTGTCTTGATTTTATGATTCGAAGGTCAATTAGAATGAGGATAAACGTTGGTGTTGGTGTTATTAACAAACCGAACGGAATGGAATTATATTGTTTTTGGTTGTAAAATGAAGCTGTGTGCAGGGGAGGATATGAAATTACAGCTTGCTTGTAAAATTCGTATAGAATCATTCGTTAGTCCAAGTTAGATGTGCAATATATCGTTGGAAATACTAAAGTGTCTACTACATCTTTGTAGTTTACACCAAGAGCAGATCCAGACTCTAAATAGCTCAAAACATTGAGTTTCCAAAACTAGTCATTTGGAACTCGGGGATTACATGTTGTTAAATTCATGTAAAATCGGTCAATTCTCCAAATAAGGTGAATCTTGGGCGATTAGTTTCTTATGAGTCAGTGCTACAACTTTCATTTAGAAGTTAGAGCTTTATTTTGCCTTTAATTATGTGTAAAACATCAGCTTTTGGGCGACATCGAGTCGGGATGAATGGACTCACATTCTTCTTGGATTCGCCATATATTTATATGGGCCAAAAGTGATGTTAGGCTAACGGTATATATGAATAAGATGGCCAAACCGGCCCGGCCCGGCCCGGGACCGCCGGAGGACCGGGACTGGGACCGACAAAGGACCGGCCCGGGACCGGTAAGGACCGATTATGGGACTGAAAATTGGGACCGGTTGAGGTTTTTGGTAGTTTCGTAGGACCGGAACTGGTTATGGAACCGACTATGGACCGGCCCGGCCCGAAAATTCAAATAATTTTATAAATAAATGTATTTTTAAATAATTTTATAATGTATTTTTATAAGAAAACGTAATTTTAATTATATTAAAACACATTTTTAAAGTGTATTTGAGTGACCAAATTGTAAATTTTATAATGTACTAAAAATATATATCATTAAAAAAATAAAAAAAATCTTATTTTTTTAATGCAAGACCGGTTGGGACCGGGACCGACGGCCCATAACCGGTTATGAAGTACCTTGACCGGTCCTATCACTTTCGGTTGGGACCGGGACCGAGACCGGGACCAGTTACGCCGGGACCGGTTATGGCCGGTTATAAGAAAGATGAAGACCGATTGGGACCGACCCAAGACCGATTTTTGGCCATCTCTATATATAAGAACAACAGTGACTTTCAATATCAAATTCAGATGATTGTCTTATGCTTTTTAATGATATTAAATATGAATGGTTATCACTGAAGTTAGTGAGAGCCAATGGCTTTTTAAGAGTTCTTAAACTGATATACAAGAAAAGTGAGTTTCAGTAACACATCCTTGGTGACGAAAAGTTTCATCCACAAGTTATAGCGATGACATGTCGTCTTTATAAATCATTTCTGATGATAAATGGACTTTTAGCGACGACAAAAGTCGTTACTGACTACTGTTTCTTTAAAACATCAATCTATAGCATAAGAAAATATTATGTCTGAAGCATTACGGATGCTCAAATCTGCTCTCGTGTAAGGATCTGGAACTTGTCTTTTTGTGATTTTATTCATTGAAATAGTGTTGTGATCAAAACTGCAAAATCTTATTTCTATAAGAGGTGGATGTCCAAAATTAGAGACTTAGGAACTTCGAACAGTTTTTTTTGAAAATATATTTCGAAATGGTTCAGTATTTCCCAACTCAACCAAATCATTCTTTGACTGTTTCAAACATACCCAGATCAAATTCATAAAAATGCAAGACTTTCTTTTTTGACTTTTATTTAAATGGTTTGTTCGAAGTTTTTACATCAAGTGTTTACTGTATAATTTTATGATCACATGATAATTCAAATTTAAGTTGTTGTTGAATTCGTCATAACATACTGCCCTCCAATGAATAAATTCTTTGAGTTACAGAACGATATACATCCCAATATAACGTCTTGTTTTTGTTTCATGTTTTAAGGCATTTTTCGTGAACGACTTCAATAACACATATTTCAATCTGCTCGATATATAAATAAGAATCACAATAATAGTTTCTTGCACAATTCATTTCGAAATAATAATCTATAAAACGTGTCGGGTTCATTTGTTATCATTAAAATTAATAAGATTATGAATAGAAATGTTTGAAGTACATTTGCGCCATGCAAACCAAAGTTTATATTAATTAAGTGTTCAGAATGATTTGGTGCAATATGATTAAGTGGTCAGAATGATTAAGAGTGATTAAGTGGTCAGAATGATTAAAAGACTCTCATGATATAGTGCAAAATAAAATACAATTGTTTACGATAAAATTATGACGCTGAATGGTTAAGGGAGGTTCATGATACAAAAAAATCATTTAGAAGGTTTTAGAACCATTAAGAGACAGACTTTTTTTTTTTTACCAAACAAGATTCACCTCTTAACGATTCAAAAGATGTCTCTTATGGAACTATTAAGATGTAAACAAACAACACCTAAGTGGGTATTTGTTGTCTAAAAATGTTAGATATATAATTCGAGTCTCCTCAAGTTCATTGAGAATTTTCTTACTTATTATCTTCAGAGTCTCATGGGATTAGTTGAGGTGCGTATAACCTGACTCAAATCCCCACTGTTACAAAAAAAACAAACACAAACAAGAACGTGGAACATAAAAGAGTAAAAAAAAGAGACACAAACACAAGATCATTTGTGATCGTTGTCAAAACTCTGGTTTCAAATCCAAGAGCTGTCAAAACTCTTACGGCCATAGATTTCATCTGCAATAACTTTAGATCATTTGTGATCGTTGGGTGAAGTAGTCGATGCACGTAAACTGATCCAGATACCTACCGTCAAAAAAAATATACTAAGGTGGCGTTTGTTTTTTAAGAGATGCTGAAGTCTGAAGTCTGAATTCAATTCTGAATTTTAAGAGGTGATGCTGAAGTCTGAAATCTGAATCAGTCAGACTGTTTGTTTTTACGTCTGAAATCTGAAATCTGAAACCAAAGAGAGATCGAGAAGATTACCCGAACACCAGCTTGAATCTGCGATGTATGAAGAACACCAGCTTCAATCGATGAATGAGAGGAGAGCGGATGAGAGCGACGTAAAGGAGGCGGATGAGAGCGACGTAAGGAGGCGGATAAACAAATAAGAGGTATTAAGAGCTAGGGTTACCACTTAAAAATTCAGAGGAAACCTTATGAATTCAACTCTTAATTTGGGGGAAATAACAAACGATCTGAAAGTCTATATGTCTGACCGATTCAGACATAAGAGGAAATTAATAGGCAAATTTTAAAAAACAAACAGGCTCTAAGTATAATCAAAATGTACAACCCAAGTGATTTTAATTTTTAATTGGATGATTTAAATACCAATAAATGCAATTTATAAGAGAGTACCAACCAATCACAACTATTTATTAAATAATGTTTTTTTTTCTAAATTAATTATATCGACACAAAAAGCTACTAGTATTATTTTAACAAATATATGCAAATTAGGGGTTGTTTGATAGTTGTTTAATGAGTAAGTGGTCGGAATGATTAAAAGGCTCTCATGATATAATACAAAATGAAATATAATTGTTTGGTTATTGTTTACAATGAAATCGGATCAGATCGATTGAAAAAAAATCCAACATTCAATAGATGATTGGATTGGTTCAGTTCCCTCCACATCCAATGAATATCAACCGATGAACAACCCAGTTTTCATGGTGAAATCACTACAATAACATCAGGTTTATATGACACCTAAAATATCTAACCATTTTAATAAAATGTTTATAAGACTTACATTTATATAATCAAACAAAAAATCGTCCTATCTAAAAATGTTACAATTGGTTTTTAAAATATTTTTTGACATTTTAACAAGATTTTAGGTTTACCACATTATTTAAAAAATTATCCTATAAAAAGATGTGTTTATAGGACACTTTTCAAAAGTATCATATAAAATAGCTGATACAACCTTTTATTATTTTAAAACCGTCTTAAATTTTTTTTGTTAAAACGTCCAAAAACAGTAACACTTTATAGTTTGATCCTATAAACTTAATTCCTGTAGGTAAAATATTTTTTTAGACGTCTTATAAACCCAATTTTGTTATAATAAATTATCTGTTTAAACTTGCGCAAATTTTCATTAAGATGTCACTTAGAAGTTTACCATCTAATCATTAAACGATAGATAATTAATAGAAAAACCGTTCAAAACTGTTGAGAATTTAAAATTCAACGACAATTTTACTCGGTTTTCAAGTTGAATTAAACAACTAGTTGCCAAATAGACACGAACAAAACCCCAAAGTTGGTTTAAAGGCATTTTATATAAAACTTGTTGATTAATTAGACCAACTACGTCATGGGTCGTTTACGCTTATCCGGCATACTTAATAATGAAACGTAACACTCTCATCTACCTTATCGGTTAAGATTCTAGTCCGTTAAAACTGTATCATATCTAATGATTTATCCGGTAAGCGTTAACCGAGTAAGAGTCGTCACTTTCATTTCTCGGGTAAGACTCTTGGCCCAAGTTATTGTTCTTATTGGGTAAAATAATCTTATCCAATAAGATAAAAGGACCCGATAAATATTTTATGGATAAACGTTTATAAAATGAAGCATGTGAATAATTAAATAAGAACAATGTGAGACATGTCAACACAACACAAAAAAGTTTGACTTTCCAAAGTCAAACTTTAGAAAACCACATCCAACACAAAAAAGTTTAGATGAAGTTGAAGTTGATGAAGGCGCTTTTGATGCATATGCTTATCTTGGATCTGTTGCAGCGATTGGATGACTCCGAACAAATGCTTATCGTGGATTTAATGCAGCGATTGGGGGGGGGGGTGTGCTTTCTCGGCGATACGGAGGTTGGAACAGCCTCTCTGAACGGTGGTGACAGTGACGAAAGAGGGATAGATTGAGGGCGTTGTTGATTAGGGGGTGGTGTGGGACGATGAAGTCGCTCTAAGAGTGTGTTATGTGTATATACAAAGTGACGATGGAGAAAGGGGGGTTATGTGTGGTGGGGAGAATCTGAAGATGATGGTTGGTCGGAGATGATGGTCGTTTTCTATAATTAACCTACTTAACTTAGTCATCTAACGTTTTCTATAATTATACTGATTTTGGAACATATAGTGTGTTTTTATGTAAATCATAGGGACCAAATTTGTAGTTTACTCTTTTTCCTTTTTATAAATTTGGTCTTTTTTATCTATACTATATTATAAAACATTTGAGAAAAACTCTTAGAAACCATTTTTTATGCATGAAGTACTGTTTATTGATGCATATTACTTAAAATTCAAGATTACAAGTAAATTGTACATAAGTACAACTTATTAAAGTTCTATATTTGAATTCGTGTAACTAACTGTGGCTAAACATAATCAAATATATGATAAACATCTCATTTTAAAATATAAAAAATCTAAAATATAATTAGGATAATTATTGAATTCTAACAGAATATTTAACTATTACTTTTATAAAAAAATATATTGTTAAACCTAAATTAAGTTACTTTGTTACGATAAATTAAACTATAATAAAAAATTTGAATTAAAAAAAAATACACAAATAAAAAAATTTAAATAGTTAATTTGATATTAGTGTTAATATATTTTTTGCAAATTTTATATGATATTTTCAAATTTATATTTTATTCAAAAATAAAAAATTATCGGTTTCTTAAAACCACATAAAATCGTATTATATCGACATGGATAAAAAATAAAACGAAAAATTGAAATGAAAATGTGTCTCGATGCATTGCACGAGTACCCTGCTAGTTTATTTTAATTTAAACATATATCAATTATAAAATATGATCATTTTTTTATTAACTAAGATATTCAACCTGCTATGTGAACCGACCAATCTCAAGACGACCACTCGTTTTGTAGGTAACCCGAAGTTATCCCATTTAAACCTCCGTAGCTACAAAAGGATTTTTATTTCTCCTTTCATTCCAACCTGAGACCTAGAGCCACTTTTAATATTTATAATACAAGTTTAAACTAGTCTAATAGTGGTTTAAAATATAATCATTGCTAACCACTGAAATTCTACTTTTCATGCCGTTGAAATATTCAAGGGGATTGGATATATAGTCAAAATATTAGATCATCCAAAAAGTCAACGAAAATTGTTATCATTGAATCATACTATTACACGATTCATGATCTTAATTTTTCCAACACATTTTTTCTGTATATCCAACCCGTTATACGAGCCGACTAATCCCAGAATGACCACCTGCTTTGCAGATAGCCCATAGTCACTACATTTGAACCTCCGTAATCACAAGGAAATTTTTATTCCTCCTTGAATTTGAACCTGAGACCTCTGGGTACTATTGACTTTTGGAGCCAAACTCAAACCAATCAGACACCTTTTACGTATATAGTTCTTCTAACTCATGTACAAGTTTATGACTTGTTAAGTTTATATACATAATGAATAAAGTAATTAAGAGATTGATTAAGCTATATTCATAATGAATAAAGTAATTAAGAGATTGATTAAGCTATATTCATAATGAATGAATCAGCTAGAAAAGCTTGCTTCCAAACTCTTCAATGTCTTTCCCTTTCTTTGAAGATGAAGCTGCAACATCTCTAAGCTCAGATAAGCTTCTTCCAAGCTGCAAAGCCACCTTCATCTCAAACACTTCACCATTCTCCCTGCTCTCCTCATTTCTTTCCTTCAAGTTTGATTCTATGGATTCCTCCATCATCTTAAAGAACCCTGCATTGCTTCGATACATCTCGAACACCATCCCTACTTGCCCACCATGTTCCACGGTATTCGCAACGCTTGCCATCGCACCAGCCATGATTCCGAGCACCACGGCCCATGAATCATGAGGAGAGGATCCAAGAAAGGCTGAACCAATGGCTCCTAAGCCTGTTAGTAGAGGACCAGCTATGGCTAAAGCTTTGTTGAGTTTCAAAGCCTTTTTGCCCAACCTCAAATAATCATCTTTATCTTTCACCTCCAAAACCCTAATGATATCTCTCATCTCCTCTTCCAATTCGACACTCCAACCGTTTTTATCATTTTGGTGTTTATTAGCGGACGTCCTTCGTTTTTCTGGCCACCAAACCGCGGGTTCGACTTTGGCTGGAAACTTTTCGAGCATGACACCAAGTAAAGGAAGAGGGTAGGCTCTATCTATAGCCAAAACTTTCTTCATGGCTTCATTCACATCACCAAGAGTAGGATTGCCTATAGCAATTTTTGTCCGGATTTCGCTCTCGAGTTGCTTGAACAATCTTGCAGCGTTTCGTTGTTCTTCAACGAGTTGGGAAGGTTGGATCTTGTTCATGATAACCAACAACCCAGTGGCTGCCAAATACATGAAACTAGAAGACAGTTTCAAAACTTCCATAGGTGCACCAGGTGTTGTAGCTACAGCAGCAGCAATGCCAGCCATGGTTGCAGCAGATAGAGTAATGGTGTTGATAGAGGTTAACAACAAGCTGTTCCAATCATTCCTTTGCTCTCCAACATTCTTATGCATCTCCACCCGATCCAAAACAGCCTCCAGTATCACATAAAGCTTCTCCATCACTTCACGATCACGACACACTTTAGGGCTTTTGCTAGGGTTCTTAGGTATGAATCTTGAAAATTTATCCATTTCTTCAACCAAACCTATGTTTGATACAATCTTCGGGGCTATGATACTTGGATTACTTATTCGAATCTTCGGAAAATTCAAACCAGCCCTTGTGTTATCTCTACGGGAAGACGAATTCGAAGGGAATGAAGTGGGAGTTGAACACATAAAACTTGAAGCTTGATTAATGGCTGCCATCTTATGATGGTGTCTATTGATTTCAAGCTCTAAACAAAACAAAACAAGAAGTATGTTATGAGTTATATGTGTGTGTTTTGTGGGTTTTTGTAGGGTTTTGTGTGTGTTTTTGATATGAAAGTGTTGGATTTGTGAGGTTATATAGAGGGGGGCATGGATTCAGACGAAGTGAAGTGGTCAAGATTTTCAAACTTTGAATGAAGGATATGTTGACATCAGGTTATTTGGATGGACTGTTTCTTGAATAACTTGTTCGTATTTTGACTCGACCACATATTTTACCATGGAATATTAAATGAAGTTGGGCCAATTCAATTGATTTTTATGAACAGCTGCTGTGATCAAGATTTGAATGAATGGAAACAAGAAGGAGACACGATACCCATCTGCTGAGGTCGATCTTCGACTAAAATATTAGACCTTAATTTGAAGATCAAAACAAATTAAATACGTTGATAGTGATCATGCGATCACATGATTATGAGGCTCTTTTGCAATTTGTAAAGACTAATTAATCAGCTACTAGTTAGTTAATAATCTTTGATTATGTGTTGTTAATTAATTACTTCATTTGAAATGGTCATAACTCATAATTAGTAGATGATATATATATATATATATGTATATACATATATATATATATATATATATATTGAAGTGTTGCTTCGTTTCGATGGAATTTTTTGGATTATTGGTTATGATTTTGTGGGATAAACGATGGAAACGATACAAAAAACCATCCATTAATGATGATACCACTACAATACAATCGATTATATGTATGGCACCAAATATATATATATAGAGAGAGAGAGAAAGTGTGTTGGGATCATGTGAGATAAAGATTGTTTTCGTGAGACGTGAAATACGATTTTTATAGTTGAAACTTTATAGCAAAACACTGTGAAGGTAACATTCACAATGTTTTGGCTACGAGGATTCAGCTTCTTTTTATCTTTATGACATTTTGTTGTGAAGTTTCAAGTGTAAAAATCGTGTCTCACGAAAACAGCTTTGTCTCACGTGAACCCAGCTCTATATATATATATATATACACACACACACACACTATATTATAAAGCATTTGACAAAAACTCTTAAAAACCATTTTTTATGCACGAAATACTGTTTATTGATGCATATTACTTAAAATTTAATATYACAAATAAATTGTGCATAAGTACAACTTATTAAAGCTTCATATTTAAATTCGTGTAATTAACTGCAGATAAACATAATCAAATATTGGATAAACATCTCATTTTAAATATAAGAAATTTAAAATGTAATTAGGATAATCATTGAGTACTGACAAATACTTAATTCTTATCCTTATAAAAAAATTATTAGATAAAAAATAAATTACGTCGTTATTAAATCTAAATTAAATTATAATAAAAAAATTGCATTAAAGAAATTACACAAAAACAATAACTTTTAAATAGTTAATTTGATATTAATTTTGATATATTTATTTTTGAAATCTTATGATATTTTGAAATTTATATTTTATTAAAAAATAAAATCATTATTTTTTTCTCAAAACCACATAAAAACAGTATTAAAACATCCACAAAGACAGAATAAAACGAAACATTAAAATCGAGATATATTTCATTGCATTGCATGAGTACCATTCTAGTATATATATGTATATATATATATTATGTGTGTATGTGTGTGTGTATATATATATTATATTACTAGAAGGGTACTCGCACAATGCAGCGAAATACATCTTGATTTTAATATTTCATTTTATTCTTTATCTCGGTCGATGTTATAATATGGTCTTATGTGATTTTGAAAAAAAATGATGATGTTTTTATTTTTAATAAAATATAAATTTGAAGATATCATAAAAATTTGACAAAA